CACACTTGCTCGTAAAGTGGATCTAATTTCAACGGTTTATTATATATACAGCAGCTCATAAAACACGCGTGCGTTATAAAGGTAAATAGTGCAGTTATATTCCATAACAGCATTAATTGCTATTGTTTTCAAATTTCGAAGTGACCGTCGCACGTTGTTACGATGACTGTTATAACACACTCGGCTCTATTACGCCTCGCGTGTTATAACCATCATAACGCTCATGTATCGTAAAGTACTATTATATAAATTTAGCCACCGCTATAAAATAAGTTATATAATACGGCCTGTGCCTTGTAAAGTGTGTACTTATAAAAAAAATATACTTTACTGTACATGTTAATTAAAAGTGTATTTCAACACACTTTCTCGTAAATTGGATTCAATTTCAACGGTTTTTAATATATACAGCAGCTAATGAAACAAGCGTGCGTTATAAACGCAAATAGTGAAGTTATATTCCATAACAGAATTATTTGCATTTATTTTCAAATTTCGAAGTGACCACCCCGTGTCACTAGCCTGTAGAGAGCGCGTCATTTTAAAAAAGTAAAACGGCGGGAAAGCAACTATGGGCAACAGTTTTATGGTTGAGTATATTTCAAATGAAGTGTGTTGGATAACGTCGTACGATATACGTGCGTGTTTAACACACTCGCCTCTATTACGCCTCGCGTGTTATAACCATCATAACGCACATATATCGTAAAGTACTATTATATCATTTTAGCCACCGCTATAAAATAAGTTATATAATGCGGTCTGTGTCTTGTAAAGTGTGTACTTATAAAAAAAAATAAGACATGATTTTCAGCATTTGACCGTTGATCTTGCATTTTATACTGGCAACATTGAATAGTTATATTATTAGTTTAAGGAACACTGTAAGACATTTTGAATCTCAATAATCAACATATATAGTTGATTTTGCACTGAGCAATAAGTACCTAGATAAAAGACTATGTAAGTATGTCATCCGAGCCATAGATTTAAGAGTTTGATACTTATTTTTTTTATATATTTTTTTTTATATTCTGTTCAGTATTGGTTTATATTTCATTTCGGTATCTACACAAAATATTGGCATGATATAGAGAACTTTATTGTAGACACTCTCTATAGTTTGTTAGTTACATATTTTACTGGAATTTGTATTTATCTGTATAAGTACTGTATGACTGATAAAAAATCTCAAAACAATATAATTTGACAAAATATAATTAAATTTTTTTTTAATCGTTTAAATTAGCTAATATTTAAATCTACCTCTATCTAACTATTAATATATATATAACTGAATTTGACAGTTGCAGTTACAAACTGACTTGTATGTTTCACAACTTGAAATGTGAAATTATTTATGTATAATTATAAAACTGTTAATTTCAAACAAAACAATGGCAACTATGTTACATAATTAGCAGTCCGATCCTTCATAAGTAATATATATCTTCATAATTATAAGTAATTATATAAAAAATTATATTACATTTTCCGTCCATACATAGGCATATGATGTTCTTGTTATATGCTATAATTAACCTCAGTATGATGTAATAAGACTGATTTACCTATATTACCTATTCTAAGACTAATTGTTTTTATATATTTTTTTTTATTTTTATATATTACATTATCATATCAATTTATAAATGACTATAGTATGAATATATAATAACATAATGATTAAAGTCGAACTAGAAATCATGTTTTAAATATTTTAGATTATGTCGCTATGGTCTTACTTAAATATGCATACTGTGTTCATTTATTTATTCACTTAATACAATATAAACTTACAGCTAATTGCGATTTGTTTGTATCGTAAAACTATTATACTTAAATATATACACTACTTAGCTATATAAAGACAGGTACATTCTTATTTAATTTATTATAGAAGACAAGGCTTCTGAACGTTAACATTTTGGACCACCCCAAAATAAGTTAAGATATGGAATCGAACAGTGTATGGTTAATTAATAGTAAAGGATTATTTTTTCAATACGAGATTAAGATGTATGATCTTTGTCTCTTCACTGGGGTATAAACTAATAAAATATTAGAATTTGACAGGGCAACTTGACTCGTTTTTGTTTATCGATAGAACTGTATTTTTTTATTATATTATGTATTCCTTATCTATGACTTTTTAATAATAAAAAAAAACATGTATCTCGGTAGTCCGTCCAATGGTAATTTGTGTTCCATATTTAAATTTAAAATACTTTTAATGTAAGTAGTTATAATTGGCGCTAATTGTAATGTGTCATTGAAAGAAATGCGCAACGCGCGTCATTGTGCCTTTTATGTTTTTTTAATACAATAAATTTATTATAAAATTGTAATTTGTTTTCTTTTTAAAGTAGGTGAGTAATTATAAATGGCGCTAATTGTAAGGAGTCATTGAAAGAAATGCGCAACACACGTCATTGTGCCTTTTATGTGTTTTTAATACAATAAATTTATTATAAAATTGTAATTTGTTTTCTTTTTAAAGTAGGTGAGTAATTATAAATGGCGCTAATTGTAAGGAGTCATTGAAAGAAATGCGCAACGCGCGTCATTGTGCCTTTTATGTGTTTTTAATGCAATAAATTCATTATAAAATTGTAATTTCTTTTTTTTAATGTGGGTAAGTAATTATAAATGGCGCTAATTGTAATGTGTCATTGAAAGAAATGCGCAACGCTCGTCATTGTGCCTTTTATTTGTTTTTAATACAATAAATTCATTATAAAATTATAATTTCTTTTTTTTAATGTGGGTAAGTAATTATAAATGGCGCTAATTGTAATGTGTCATTGAAAGAAATGCGCAACACACGTCATTGCATCTTTTATGTGTTTTTAATGCAATAAATTCATTATAAAATTGTAATTTCTTTTTTTTAATGTGGGTAAGTAATTATAAATGGCGCTAATTGTAATGTGTCATTGAAAGAAATGCGCAACGCTCGTCATTGTGCCTTTTACGTGTTTTTAATACAATAAATTAATTATAAAATTGTAATTTCTTTTTTTTAATGTGGGTAAGTAATTATAAATGGCGCTAATTGTAATGTGTCATTGAAAGAAATGCGCAACGCTCGTCATTGTGCCTTTTACGTGTTTTTAATACAATAAATTAATTATAAAATTATAATTTCTTTTTTTTAATGTGGGTAAGTAATTATAAATGGCGCTAATTGTAATGTGTCATTGAAAGAAATGCGCAACGCGCGTCATTGTGCCTTTTATGTGTTTTTAATACAATAAATTTATTATAAAATTATAATTTGTTTTCTTTTTAAAGTAGGTGAGTAATTAGAAATGGCGCTAATTGTAAGGTGTCATTGAAAGAAATGCGCAACGCGTGTCTTGTGCCTTTTATGTGTTTTTAATACAATAAATTCATTATAATATTGTATTTTTTTTTAATTTTATCTAGAGCAAGTAGATAACATGCAGGTTACCGCCGCATAGTATGAAACTACACGTTAGTTTTGTTGGCATGTGCCTCTTTTAAAAGTGTTACTCGAAATCTATTTTTTTTTTTTATAATGTCATATGCGTTGGTAATCTGTTTCATCCATTTTAGAAGTTATGAAGGATGCTTTGTAAATTGTTGGTTGAGATATGGCAGTGAAGTTACAGAATACGCAGGTGGAACACTTGAGCTCCTAAATGGGTAACAATACATATAAATACATGATAAAGTTATGTACACGGTGCTGTTTATATTTATAGGCGGCTTGTTTGCCATTGCAATTACAAAGAAAAATATTATTTGTGTAAAACAGTCCAAGCTCTTTTTTAGTTATATACTTTAATTTAATTAATTATTACCTGTTATTATACCAATGCTTAATTCTGGTTAAATTCTAATGACAATGTAATTTTACTTACATAGGTGTCCTAATTCATACGTAATATTCTCTATTTATGTAGGTATATAAATATTTTCCTACACCGAAGGTCATATTGTATCTACGGTTCTTTCCCAATACATTTTTTTTGTAAATTCTATTAGCATTTCTGGGTGTTAATAATATAAACAATTATACTCATGAAAAATGTTTATACTGTGCGTGGAATCGAACCCACGAAACTTAGAATTAAAGCGGTGTGCTGAACCGCTAGACCACAGCCGTCTAAAATATTTAGGTACAATCGAAAGGCTCGTCTCGTCTCCGTTACAAGAGGGTCCTGGGACACTACAATGTAGGTACACGGCGCGGCGCGGGCGACAAGGTTTGGGTTTGTTCCAAATAGTAGGTATATTACTAGCTAGCCGCCCCGGCTTCGCACGGGTGTACATGTATTATATATATTAACCTTCCTCTAAAATCACTATCTATTAAAAAAAAACCGCGTCAAAATCCGTTGTGTAGTTTTATAGATTTAAGCATATGTAGATAGGGACAGACAGCGACAGCGACTTTATTTTATACTAGCTATACCAGCGACTACGTCCGCGTGGAATTTAACTTTATTTTTCTAAAATAAAAGTAGTCTAACTTACTCCTTATTACATCAGCTACCTGCCAAAAAGTCCCGTCAAAATCAGTCCAGCCATTTGAGAGATTAGCCAGAACAAACAGACAGACAGACAAAAATTGCAAAAAAATGTTATCTTTGGTGTATGTACGATATTTATATTCATATGCGCGCCACGCGGACGAAGTCGCTGGTATAGCTAGTATAAAATAAAGTCGCTGTCGCTGTCTGTCCATATCTATGCTTAAATCTATAAAACTACGCAACGGATTTTGACGCGTTTTTTTTAAATAGATAGAGTGATTTTAGGGGAAGGTTTATATATACAATACATGTACACCCGAGCGAAGCCGGGGCGAGTAACTAGTATTATATATTAAAAAAGAATCAAGATAAGTAGAACACACCTTTTGCTAACTACACTATGAGTTGTGTACTCCAAATACACCCCACAATTTTAATCTCCACAGATCCGAGTCACAGATGCGTACGCGCATTCATTCAGTCAGTAATTCAAGAATAACTCGCGAATGCGGACGCATATGCGCACGTCACGTCATTAATAGGTCGTGAAGTTTATTATTACAGTGAAAACTATAAAATGGCCAATTCGAACACAGAGACGGAATGGATCCGCACACCTCCACCGTCTGGACCCCTGTGGCAGAGAATCGCCAAAGTGGTGTACAACCCGACCGATGGGAGTTTTTTCGGCAGAACATCTAAAAGATGGGGTAAGTTCTTATTCAACAAGATTCATCATGCAAAGATGGCTTCATGAAATACAGCCACTGTTACTAGGTCATATTGTAATTTTCTATCTAATAATTAATTTCTAAAATATATCTATCATTTTTTAATCTAAATCTTTAAAAACATACAGGAAAATATTTTTTCTTATTTATAAGTTTATAATTAGGATAAATTACGAAATTATCTATAAACCACGCGTGTATTTATGTTTTCATTACTCTTGAACTCATTGAACAGTGTTTATAAATAATTAATGTTCATAATTAATAAAAAAAAACCTATTAATGCTAAAAAAATCTATATGAAATCTATATGTGAATCATATAAATTAGGAAATAAATAACTAAATTATAGCAATAATTTGTAGAAATCATAACTGTCTTACATTGACATTGGTTACAAACACACGTGTGTAATTTTAACTTATTTTTAGATACTAAACAGTAATTTTTATTATAGCTGTGTTATATTATAATGTTATAATAATTAAACGAATTGAGGGTATCGACAAATCTATTAATTGGAATATCTAATTATTAGATACATGTTCAGTTATGTAACCACTAGCTAAGAGCTAAGAGTCCGTACTTTGTTCGTTCGAATATGATGGACATATTAAATTCGGTTTTACTATTTCATGTATGTATTTCTACTCTAAATATATGTCAAAATCGTTGTTTTCGTCTATCTGTTTCACTATTTACCTCCTCTATACCACGCATCAGTTCACGGCTTTCTCTGACATTTAGAGAATTTCTTCAGGCAGATTCATATGCTTGCTACCTGTGCGTGTGCTTTCAACCGCATGAAATTTATAGCCTATATACTATTCCGATGTATAAGCTATATAACTGTAAAGTTTAATTAAAATGCGTTCAGTAGTTTTTGCGTGAGAGTAACAAACATCCATCTATATATACATCCAGATTCACAAACTTTCTAATTTATATTAGTATGATAGATCTCTGTTATATTACCTACACTATGCACGAGTACGTCGGGAAATAAAAAAAACTGTCTGATATATACAAACAGTCATAGTTATGAATATCCACTCAAGGGCGAGGCGATGGTGAGTTTATAAAACCGAAAGTGTATGTTTGTTATGCTTTCACGCTTCAACCAATCTATAAATTTAGCTTATACGTAATATTTGGGATCGTCAAGGACATACGTTTTTATCTTGTTTAACCGTAGTCATAAGGGGGTTTTATTTTTTTGATGGATGATAATGGAATGGTGACCCCGCCTGAGATAACAGTATACGCAGGCGGGGCACCAGTGGATGGTAAAGATGAACATGAGGTCAGCTCAGTTAATCCATCCATAAGGGCTTAGCAGTTTCTATGTTGAATGTCGCATGCCTAATCCTTGTTAATGTAAATATAATTAAACCAATATTTATTTAAAAGAGCAACACACAAGTTTCTTGCTCGTGCTTCTTGTTATGAATCTGCATTCCGAATGAGCGGTAGAATAAAAAAACTTGACTATTCAAAAGTGCTTATATTAAGTTTATTTGATTAAAGATTATTTCTATTTCATCGTGGCAAATTTACCAGCAATTTATCACCAAGGGAACAGCGTGGAGGTCAACCTGACGTAGGTACGTTAGTCCCTGCTACTTAGTTTACTGTACTGACGAATCCGGTTAACATCCCTGCCCATCGTATAATCCTCCACTGGTGCTCCACCAGCGGAAACTGTTAAAAACTTGTGAACCGTTCCATTATCATAAAAAAAAAATCACAGTGTCGTGTTCACAGTTTTCGTGTTTGCACTTAAAAAATACATACTTTCAATTTTCACCCTTCTATCACCAACCCCTATTTTCAATAGTGAATTTAATTTATATAGCAAAACAACGTTTGCCGGGACAACTAGTAATATATAAATAAATTACATATAAAAGAAATCTATACATATAAATAAAATTGGAGTGTCTGTTTGTAATATTGAAATAACCGTTTTTTACTACATGCATATGAATATAAATACGGTACATACATCAAAATAACATTTTTTACAATTTTTGTCTATCTGTTTGTTCCGGCTAATCTCTGAAATGGCTGGACCGATTTTGACGGGACTTTTTTTGGCAGGTAGGTAATGTAACAAGGAGTAACTTAGGCTACTTTTATTTTAGAAAAATATAGTAAAATTCCACGCGGACGAAGTCGCAGGTACAGCTAGTATACCTATATACAATAAAATATAAATACATAATAGCAACTATGCAATTAAGAATGAGATAATTTTAGTAAGAAAGTACAGCAGAAAGAACATATACTGAGAGAGATAGTCCTATTTCATAGAGTTATTAAAAATGGCTAGTGTAAGTGTAACATAAAACTAAATTTTCCAACGGGTAATAAGGAATTCCGTTAATAATATCAGTTAAATGCGAATATGAACATAGAGCCGTGTACTGCATACTGATGTTTCGTATACAATACGTAATAAATAATACACATGTACTTATTGTGTACTAGCTGTACTCGCGACTTCGTCCGCGTGGAATTTAACTTCATTTTTCTAAAATAAAAGTAGCGTAAGTGACTCCGTATTATATCAGCTACCTGCCAAAAAAAGTCCCGTCAAAATCGGTTCAGCCATTTTTATGAGATTAGCCGGAACAAACAGACAGACAGACAAAAATTGTAAATAATGTTATTTTGGTGTATGTATCGTATTATATTCATATGCATGTAGTAATAAACGGTTATTACAATATTACAAACGGACATTTTAATTTTATTTATATGTATAGATGTTTGTTTTATTGTTGCTATCATACAAACTGGTATGAAAATTATTTTTACTTAGACTCAGTATCATACTGTATAATTGTCATATCTATACATATAAATAAAATTGGAGTGTCTGTTTGTAATATTGAAATAACCGTTTTTTACTACATGCATATGAATATAAATACGGTACATACACCAAAATAACATTTTTTCAATTTTGGTCTGTCGGTCTGTTTGTTCCGGCTAATCTCTGAAATGGCTCGGCCGATTTTGGCGGGTCTTTTTTTGGCAGGTAGCTGATGTAATAAAGAGTAACTTAGGCTACTTTTATTTTAGAAAAATTAAGTTAAATTCCAGGCGGACGAAGTCGCGGCTACAGCTAGTATACAATAAATTTATATATAATAACTTAACAAAACACATATGGACTCTATTTAAAGAAAGCGGCAATTTCGTAGATGACTCATTCCATATATACATTAGCCAAAAGCGTCCGAGTGTCTGTCAGTTTGTTAGGACTAAATCAAGATCGCTGGAAGGCATTGGATACGAGCAGCGCAGGACCGATCGTCGTGGAGATCTTTGGGGGAGGCCGATGTCCAGCAGTGGACGTCTTCCGGGCTGCGATGATGATGATGAAATTTAAATGTCTGTTACCAAAAGTCTGCTGTAGTGACTGCTTAGGTTATACAGTACATCTGCTGAAAATTCTTTTACACTATAATAAGTCTTTACAATATTTTATTTATTTATTTATTATATATTTATTAATGTAAATATATTCATATGGATGTAGTAAAATACGGTTATTTCAATATTACAAACAGACACTCCAATTTTATTTATATGTATAGATGTATATGCAATTACAAAAAAATAATTATATGACTATTCAAAAGCGCTTATATTAAGTTTATTTGCCGTCGGTGGTCTAGCGGTTTAGCACTCCGCTTTACTTCCGATGGTCGCGGGTTCGATTCCTTGCATGGCACAAACATTTATATTTATGAGTTAGATAGTTTGTATCAGTCTGGGTGTTTTCTATATATAGTATGTTTGTATTTACTAAATATTTATATCAGTTATCTAGTACCCATAACAGAAACTCTGCTTACCTTGGGACTATAATTATTAAGTTTTTTTTAATAAGGACTATTTTTATTTCTCATTAAAAATAGAATAAACTTAGGTTTATTTATGATACGTACGAGAGTGATGAAAGGAATATAAAAATATAATCATCTCGCGTAGGTATACCTGTATCACAGTATATATATATTGTTTAAATAAACAAATCAGTCAGCTGGTATTATTGTACCTATTTTTATGATAAATGATAACACTGTGACATTGTTCAGCGAACTGCTGAGTCGATACTGTCTACTAATTTTATTTACCTACTGCTTTTCTACTGTTATTATAAAAGGTGTGATAAAAGTGTCAAAATTCTGTTAATCATCTACACATATAAATAAAATTGGAGTGTCTGATTGTAATATTGAAATAACAGTTTTTTACTACATGTATATGAATATAAATACGGTACATACACCGAAACTTGTCTTATGACAAGAAGGATTTAGCACAATCACTTACTATATTTAAAAATTCACTAAAATCTCATTATCTCTCTCCCTCTATAACTGAACTATAACTAAATTTTCATTTTGTTCTCATCTCATATGTAGTATATGTATGTATATAATATGTATTAGTGTGTAAGTTTATTTATTTATACTTATAAAATGTATGTGTATCTATATGTGTATTATAAATATGTTCTCTACTGTGTGCCTTCTACCTTCTCTATGTAAATAGTATCTGTCAATACCAGGTTGTCTGTAAGAAATTGCTGTTAGTTATAAGACCGCCTTTTGTATAACTTTTTATCATTTTTTTTTATTGTTCTTTGTTTGTCTGTGCGCAATAAAGAATTATTATTATTATTATTGATGAGATGAGATATGTAAGTCAAGAGTGACGGACATAGGCCGAAGAATTGAGAGACTGAAGTGGCAATGGGCAGGGCACATAGCGAGTAGGACAGAAGTCCTGGACTGGCGACCGCGGACCGGAAGACGCAGCGTGGGAAGGCGTCCAGCAAGGACCGCCGATCTGGTCAAGATCGCTGGAAGGCGATGGATGCGAGCGCCGGACCGATCGTCGTGTAGATCTTTGGAGGAGGCCTTTGTTCAGCAGTGGACGATGTTGTGGATGATGATGATGAG